TTTTTTTTTTTTTTTTTTTTTTTTTTAATTTCAGGTAAAACATTCTGTCAGTCTTGCAAGAAGAAGTGCAGCGGGGAGGTACTACGAGTGCAGGACAAGTATTTCCACATAGGGTGTTTCAAGTGCGCTCAGTGCAACACGAGCTTAGCGCAGGGTGGCTTTTTCGCTCGCGAGGGCTCTTACTACTGCACCAAGGTACTGGAACGTATAAATAAGAAACCAAGGCGACGATAAAAGCGACATGGCGAGAGGACCGCGGTTATATAGAGCGCGTAACTCGAATCCCGATAAATATGTAAACTCTCTTCGCGATGTATCGCGTTCTTTCATACATTCCCTCCGGGATAACGATAAACGCGTCGTCGCGATCGTTACAGAAATTTTCAATAAAATCTCGCGTGAGGCTCGCTAAAAATTATTAACCGTCCAGGCGTTGATCTTCGCGCGCATGCAAACCATCGTGTTCGTCCCGCCCGATGACAAACGAAATTGAAACACGAGCCTCATTTCACGGGATGATACCTCCGGGATACGGTGTCTGGCGAATCGTTAGTAACGATCGTGTGGGCTTGTTAATTTTTCAGGATTACAGGGAACGCTGGGGCACAAAGTGTGCAGGATGTGGTGAATACGTGGAGGGCGACGTGGTCACCGCAGGAGACAAGCACGCTTTCCATCCTAATTGTTTCCACTGCCAACGATGCAGACAGCCGTTGCTCGGCCAGGGGACCAAAGTCTCCCTCGTTCAAGGTGAGCTCTCCTCGAGGATCATCGACACGTGACGCGCGACACGACGAAACTTCGAAACTAACGGATTAAATTCGTTGCTATTCGACCGACAGAATTGGAGTACCGGCGAACCTGTTAAACTAAATTACCATCGTATCGTCAACGAACGAGGCCACGCTCGCACGGCCTTGTAACGATTACGCGGCGAATGCTTAAAAATATGCGTGCGTCGAAACGATCGCACGTCACAAGTGAAACGTTCTCCTCGTTGTTTCCTCGTGTGCAAATGTTTATGAGCATCTTTTACCACCGTTTTATCGATCTGGCTCTAGCCCGAGGATGCCGATAAAACCGCTATTTTTAGAGCGTCAGCTCCACAAATACGAAGCTTTGATTCTTTGTTTCGCTTGCCGACCTTTGAACCCGACTGATTAGAGGGGCGTTCGAAACCACACACGAGGAAACGCGTTCACTAATCACCGTAAGAAACCGAACGCTTCTTTCTTCGTTCTCCTCTCGGCGAGTTGACGCCACGACGCACGTGTTGTACGAACGATGAATCAGCCGCGAAGATCCGACGCGTATGATCGTCGGTTTCTCGTGTTGGTTTCTCGAATAAAGGACAATAGAGCGCGTGCGTCAGCGAGCGCGGTAGCTCGCGGGTCGGATCGTCGACCGGATCTGTTCAATCTCAACTAACCGAGCGTTGTCTATAGGTCAAGCTCTGTGTCATCGATGCATCGGTATCCCGGTTCGAGAGGCCTCGACGCCGGTCGGCAATAACTCCGCTACCAGAGGAGCCGGAGACGGGCCCTCTGACCCCGGTGCCTGTGCTGGTTGCGGAAACCAATTACGGGAAGGTCAGGCTTTGGTCGCTCTTGATCGACAATGGCACGTATGGTGCTTCAAATGTCACAGCTGCGACACCGTGCTCCATGGAGAGTACATGGGCAAGTGAGTGGGAAGATTCGCTCTCTGTTGCTCGTCCCTCCAAGACTTTTTTTTTTCGTATTTATAAACCTCTGGTTTATTCTTCCAACATCTTTCGCTCACAAATTTCTAAGACTAGGGCTTACATAACTTGTGAAATTTTCGTGGAATAGTAGGTCTAATTAAGACGCTGGATAAAGAAGAAATTAGAGAAAGTACGGAAATTAGAGAAAAGAGCTCGAGGAACGTTGAAATTTCGCTGGATTTTTTTTTTTTTTTTTTCATCAGCCAGAACAAATGGTCGGCTGTTAGTCTAACGCGCGAGATTAGGATCGGAGAAAGCTAGTTATTGGTCAAACATTCAGCAGTCCATCCGTCCGCTTATCCAGCTAAACACAAGTATTGGAATAAACGGAATTCCTTCGATTTTGATCAACAGAGACGGGGTGCCTTACTGCGAGAAAGATTACCAGAAGCAGTTTGGCGTGAAATGTGCCTACTGCAATCGTTACATAAGCGGGAAGGTGCTGCAGGCCGGCGACAATCATCATTTTCATCCGACCTGTGCTCGTTGCACCAAGTGCGGCGATCCTTTCGGTGACGGAGAGGAGATGTACTTGCAGGGGGCCGCCATTTGGCACCCGCGTTGCGGACCAGGCCCTAGCGGTCCAAATGGTATCGTGAATGGTCACGGCGAAGCTCACACACCGCAGCATCGAGAGTCAGAGCGGATTTCCAGCAGCGCTTCGGAGATGCAGGTAAGATCACGTGGATCCAGAGGACTAAAGAAGTCGAAAGTTCAAGACCATCGATCCTCTGACTAGCTTCATCGAGGTGAATAATCGAATAATCGACTAACAGAACAGGATTCGACTGTAATCATCGTATCAAATCGCGACTTTTCGATTGTTACTTTGTCATGACCGCGAACTATTAAAATTGGAACTGGCGAAAATTGTACATTGTTTCTGTAAAATATTGTATCATAAATATGTACATATGTTCGTTATCAGCATTCGTCTGTGTATAGATGGTGGCCGTTTCATCGTTTTATCGTTGTTCATCTTGATCATTATGTAGTGATGTTGTCTTGGAATTCATTTCTCACGGAATCAGTCGCGCGTCATTGAACTAATTCGGTACTACCATTAACATTTTACACGCGGATGTGATATATCTATCGTCGTCCGTTTCCATATTTTTGTAACGAGTGATTAATCGCTTCATACGACATTCATTCCGTACGTTGACATAATTAACGCGTGCACGTCGCTGTCCACGTCCGCCAATTGCATTCTTTTTCCCGTTCAGTTGCATCGTACGCCGTTGAACGACCTAAATCGTGTCCGTGCGCATACTTGAATTTTGAGGTTTGCCGTCCGATCGTAAGAGAGACAAAAAGATAACCAAGAGGAGAAGTATGTTGCTCTCGAGCCAATTCTGACTCGGGAAGAGAGAGACAAAACAAAGTACATGAAACACGAAGTTCAGCTTGCATCGTGCTTATATTTGGACTGTTTTACAACACGTATTTCGTGTGAAACGTTTTTTGCGCTGCTCCGTTAATTTTTGCGACTGTTTTATACAGAGCCATTTAGAGTAGACCAGTCTAGAGCCTAAAATACCTATCTTTTTTTTTTTTTTCGTAACTGGCTTTGTGTATAGCTTCGTTTCTATTTTATTCGACGATATACATATTATGTGGCTTTTAACATGCATTTGTTCCTTAACATGTCATTGTATACTTTACCGCACGCTTCGATATGTCCGAAGTTTTATATACATATATATATATATAATATACATATCTTTATATATATATCGTACATACTTCATACATAATTTTTTATCTTCTTTATTATTTTTTATTTTTATTATTGCTTTCTTAATTGTTGTTTCCTTTTTTTTTCGCACGGTCATTGTGTATAGTTTTCATTGCGGTCACGCACGTCAAGCCTGAACGGATCACTCTGCAGCCCTTACAGCAGCCTCAGTCGTAAGGTATGCCATGTATCTCCTAGCACAAGCACACTCTCAAGAGACACCTTTGATTATTTACAAGAAATAATTTTGGAACATTGGAACATTCGCACTATCTCTACGGTTTCATCTTGCAACAGATTAATTTCGTTAAGGATTGAAAAATTTTGTTGATCTACGAATCTCAAAATCAAATACTTCAATTTTTGATACGATAAATCACCCTCGTGAACGATCGTCTTGTGACTTTCAAACAATTTTGAACAATTTTGAATAATCTTCTTAATAGAATTAGGTGACCTTCGACCTATTTTTTACTTCGCATAACTTTCAAATAATACCGAAATATCTCGAACATAACGGTGCTTAGATAGCCTATGAAGATACTTTAGCGAAAACCTTGCAAGATGATTCATTATGTCAATTCATTCTCAATACCTTGACTAGCTTGCGTGATTGTGTAAGACTCTTTAGCAGTATATTTCTAACTACGGGTTCTCTTGAGAGACGATCAAAGCGCGTTGAGTTTTTATCTTCCTTTGCCGAGTAAATAGCTAAAAGAATAGCTGTATGAGAGACGCTTTACGATCCATCGAAAAGACAGCATGAGTTTAGCCGTGATAATATACGTTAATTGCCCCAGTATTACCCCGCGCGAACTGGCAGTCCTGGACTGATATTGAGAGAGTACGGACGCGGTCCATCCGAAGATGTATCTAGGATTTATACTTACTCGTATTTGACTGAAACGCCGAGCCAAGGGTACTTGAGACGTCCGATACAGCCGTACGACAAACCTCCGACTAGCCCACACTTTCATAGACCTAGCTGTAAGTATTCAACCGTTTCTTTTTTTCTCTTTAGAGTAACCGTGTGAAAGAAAAATGAATTTATCCGAAATGAAAAATATATAAACGGTCGTTTGGCGTAGTAAAGCGTACGAATAGGATCGTGGGTGGTATGCGTACACGTTGCTAATCACGCGATATCGTTTTATTTCAGCGTCACGTTCGATAAGAAGCAGTGGCGGACGCAGCAGCCGATCTGGAATGCGTGCTCTGGTCGATGCTCTCAGTGAGACCAGACCGAAGTCACCGGCCAGTCAAGTAGATAATGATGAGCCAATAGAGCTGGCGCATTACCCGGATGCCATGAAACCTCCTCCTGGAGCCAAACCGCCGATCGAGAGGGACGATTTCCCTGCTCCGCCTTATCCGTACACAGATCCTGAGAGACGTAGACGATGGTCCGACACTTACAAGGTACCACCGGGAATTACAACGTTTTCGTCATTTTTTCCCTTCTCGCGTATTTTACCCGTGATTCTAACTTCTCCGTGTTTCGCCTATGATTCGTCAGGGGGTACCTGCATCAGATGACGAGGACGAAGTGGACAACAAAACGTACATAAAAGAAGTAGAGGAGAAACTAAAGAAAGAACAGGACGAGCTAAGCAAAATCGACACTGGGATAGCGAAGGTATTTCTGCAAGATCGTGAAAAAGATCGAGAAAATTTGAGACACAAAGCCGCGAACGTCGATCCTAGAAACGCATCGAGAACACCATCCGCAGCCAGAGAACCGACTTACAGACTGCGATACGAAAGTCCCGTTGGCGCTTGTAAGCTATCGTGCTTTTTATCTCTTTAATCTTTTTCGGTCGTTTCTTATGTGTAAGCGCGTATTTAAATTGCACAAACGTTTCTCGCGTAGCGCCATCGAGAAATATAGATCACGCCAGGCCGTGGGAAGATGACGATGGTTTCAGTTACAGATCAAGCGTAGGACCCAGTTACAACGGTAAGGTTCCTTTCAATTAAATATTAATGAATTTAGTCGTTATATTATATATTTATATATATATATATATATATATATCTCATGATCGTTTCATTAACATTAAGTGATAATCATCTCATACATGTCCACACGTTCGCACATAACACTAACATTTACCACTCTACCGTTTAATGTAACATCGGTTCGTTAGATTCCTAGGCGATAGCAAGGGTGGGAGCAACGAAAAAAAAAAAATCGTCCCTTTCATATTGCTAAAGAAAAAAGAAAATGGAAAAAAATATATAGAATAAACGAATAAAAAATTTTCTCTCTATCGTGGAACGCAACGTAGCAACGTGCGAATCTCTCGCAGTTGGGAAGGGGTGATGATGCTCAATTAATGAACGATAGCACACAGTGCGTGTAAACTCGAGCAGGAGTTTATAAGTTAAGTGGCATAGCACCAAATACCACAGCACACACTGGGCGCCCATTAACGTGACAGGTGATGTATTTATTCCGCTTCTGCATGTGGTCGGCATATTACCTTCGATGTGCTTGCCTCTTCTTATCTCTCTCGATTATCTCTCCATATGCCAATATATATACGAGTAACAGAAATAGTGTGCGTGGAAAGTTCATCCTTTCAAGTAGCGTAATATCGATTCCCATTATTTCATACGTGATCATTCATCACATATGTTTACATATATCTACAATATACCATGACCTAGACCTACCTAGATCATTCATCTTCGCTGTCCCTTCCTTTCCACCTCTAGCATGGTATTACCTATTACGAATTTCACTCTTGGCAATTTCATTCATTCATACACAAACACATATCGCTCCAAACTTCATTCTTTCTCATACTTTTTTTGGAATGTTCTTTTTTCTTTTTTCATTTTTTTTTCTTTTTTTTTTTTTTTTTTTTTTTAGAAATGATAAATCTACAACAAATTTTTCACAGTCGATGGTTTCATTTTATCGTTCGTTTATTTAAACTGTAACAGATAAACAAACGGTGAAATTTGACAGTCAGAAGAATATCGAGTTTAAAAATTAACGATAAATATTCAATATCCGGATAACACGTGTTAAGCATACAATAACTATAATTAATTCTTTATTTTCGCGCAACTATGTTGCGCGTTCATGAAAATTTCACGCGTAAATCATCATACGCGATCGTTGCGAACGTTGATACGCGCCGGTTTCAAAGCCTGTCGACTCGCATACTCGCTCGCTCGCTCGCTCGCTCGTCCGTTTTACGTTGAAAATTTGCAACCCGCGCCCTTCCACAATCCTAATCGCGAAATACATCTGGCATTAATTATGACGCCTGTCATTTCATAATGAACTAAAGTAAATATACACATAATAGTCGCGGCTGAACGATTCTAGACCGGTCGCGATTGTTTCGGCTATACTTTCTATTTAACCAGTTTCAAAATTGACATTTTGGCTGCATATCGTTCATTCTACGTATATAAATAATAAATTGTGTTATCGTGGCGTGTATCTTCCGTGAGGGTAATACGACGATTACCAATCGAGTTGCCGAAGAAGAAAGAAAGAAATGTGAAAGTGAAACAGCCCCGCGTACACAATCGTGCAACGCACCCCGAGATATTTCCTTCGACTCGGTATACCTACGTACACCTACGTATACCTCGTACAGCTGCAACAACGTTTGAAATCTGAGAGGAGAATAATTTCAGCAAGCAAGAGTACAATCACGGTGAATAGAAGGTAAATTCGCGAGAGGTTGAACGCGGCCGACAATGTGTCCGGGGCTGCTTGGAATCGTTAACGACGTAATTCGAAATTCGCGTGCAAAATCCCCGGTGCTGCAGACGACCGTAAATCGAGGGTCCTTTTATCAAAGACGAGGACACGAGAACGAGCATTCGTAGGACGGTATACTTTTGCCTCCATTTACATCAGTTTCTTGATGCCCCGAGCGAGTTGCTGCCACAGCAGCGCGGGCACCGGCACCACCGCCGCCGTCGCCGCCGCTGCCGCCGCCGCCGGCAGACCACCCTTTTTCCACCCTTCCTCTGTCCCGACCCTCCCTTTTGCTACTTTCCTCTCTCCTCTCTCGCCTACCTAGCTCTTCCTCTATCGCGGTGCTCTCTGCGTGCTCTCGCGAAAATCCTCGCGATAAATTATGCCGTGCGGGAGGGAAATAAATGACCCACCCCCTTCGGCCCTTCTCTTGCTCTCTCGTCCACCACTCTCCCTCCCCCCACCCCCCCTCTCAGCCCCGTGCCGTCCCGAACTTCAATCCCCAGCGTGTGCACAGACCCACCGACACCCTCGTTGCCGCCACCGCCGCCGCCGCCGCCGCCGCCGCTGCCGCTGCCACCCTTCGTCCACCTCTTTCCTCTTCCTCTTCCACTTCCTCCGTGGCCACCCGACCACCCTTCGGCCGCCACTTCCTCCAACCCCTTTTTCTCGTGCTACCCGCTTCTGCTCTACTATGTTCCTCCTCTTTTACCCACTGCCAGAACTCTGCCACCTCCTGCGGTCCAACGACCAGGCGGCGGTGCTGCGAGGAAAGCCGGCTTTAAAATTATAATGGCACGCGCAATTTTGATAACCGTCGCCCGAACCACCACCCACCGACCATCGTACTACTACTACCACTACCACTACCGGTGGAACAACCGGTCGGCAACAACTCTGCCGGGAGAATACTGCCTAGCTTCTACGTCGCGGTGATACCACTACATGGTTACTAGCAAGGCAGCTCGGAGCCGAGTTCACAAGAGACACAACGACACACACCGCCACCACCGGGGCCTCAACCCTCTTTTTCTTCTTCTTCGTCGTTCGTTTCAGCTGTGGGCGAGGACGGGAGGAGAAAGGTCTTTTGATATTTCAACGCACGTAGATCGACGGAGTTACTTTGCGCGTTCAACGTCCACGAACAAGTAGCTGGGATAAGGGTCGTGCTTTTTAGAGTGGACGTGAGTTTCTGTCGTAGAATTGGTCCTTTTCTATTTCTTTTCTTTCCTGTTTATATAGGGTTGTTGTTTGAAAACGTTGGAAACGTATAATTGTTTAATTATTATTGCACTTAATTATGAAAGATTTGGCAGTTATTATCCACAGGGATTTGCAACTGAATAGTGGATAGTACGGTTTGAAATGATCAAAATTTAATTATTGAAGTAAATTCGCAACGCTGCGTAATACGAAGGAAAATTCGTTGGACTATTTAATCGATGAAATTTGTTGTTACATCATATAAATCAGTAAGAGATAAGCAACTATAATAAAATAAATTTTAGAAGTACATAGAAGTACTTCATTTTTTGTCAATCGTTGTTACCAACCGGAGATAAATTCTCAAACGGATCTGATTTATTACTTTCGAAAAATATTGCAGGGATTAAAAAGTTGATTCGCGTTTGTACGATAATTATTTGATCTAATTTGAATGTTTAGTAAACGATGAGGTAACAGACATTAATTTTGTTCCAAGTTATCGGAACGGTCCTATCAATCACGCTCAAACTTTTCAATTCTAATAAAAATATATGTAATCCTGAAATACTAAATTATACAAAGATAAATCTCCAGCCTTTTTATTTTCCAAGTAAAAAAGACAGGCAACCGGATATGTTCTGTCGAATTTTTATTGCTTCGATAGTCACCATTTTAATATTAAAATTAATAATTTCTGCATGGCAGCTATGTAAATGAAACGATAAAAAGAAGCTGATACATTTGACAATCCCGTGTTATTTATAATTATATTATAATTAATATAAATTAACCCTTTCATGAAATAACACGAGAAAATTTCGGGTAATCTGTCAAATATGGCTACTAAATTTCACATTCTCAAATTTCGTCAAACGTAACATAATTAATATTTACTAACTAACATAATTAATATTTATTATAAGTATACCTATATTCTGTATTTTTCATTAGAAAATATAAGTAATTTTTTCCAAAATTAGTCAATTGAAATTTTCTACCATTTCATTAACTATCCATTGACTGTACATTACAGATAAATCACTGTTTGCATTTGCTTTTATTTTGTTCCTCCCAGAAATATTTTCCTCCAATATTTCTTTCGAGTAAATGTTTAAAATTAAATACCCTCTCCATATATGAAATCTCAAAATTCAAGAAATCTCAGCCGATCACCTTAAAAGAATTCTTACGCTAAATTGTTCTCACAGTTATAAGACACCATGCGCGTGCGTGCGTGTACCTACTTTATCCTTAAAAGAACCCTCGGTTGAAAATCTCGCGGCGCACAGATGAAAACGAGCGTACGCCCTAATCTGTTTCTCTAAAAAAAAAAAAAAAAACTCCTCCACACCCTAATCTATTTCTCTCAAAAAAATGTTGAAACGCAGCTCAACGCTTGCTCTTTCGCCGAATAAAACCTTCATTCGCGGTCATTAGAAAAAAATGTCCGGCCAAATATTTCACGAGCTCATCCCCCTCCCTCCTACGGAGCATAGAACGCACCGGTCTTCTTCTTAATAGGGCACTGCGCATCGTGTACTATTTAAAGCGATATCGCGTCTGCGACGTATTAACGCGCCCAACCCCGCGTTTCTTCGTTCCACGCCCACGGCCACGTCCGCCCCTTCGCTCGCCGCGGGTTGCAAGACCAAACAATGACGCGACGTCCGCCACCAGAATGGTCCCGCTTTTGTAGCCGGAAATTGTTTAAGCTTTTGTTATTTTGCGGCTTCTAAATCTCAGACGTCAGGCAGCGCCCTCGGGAGAGAGGCAGGTTCTGCGCGCTCGTTGGCGCAACTCTCTTCGAAAGCTTGGACAGACGCTCGTATATCTGCGTGCACACGGTTCGAATCCAGCGGGTGGCGCAGATGTATTCCGCTTTGTAACGTGAACTTTCAACCGGAAACCGGGTCTCCTTCGCGGGAGATCGTTGCACCGTGCATTCGAGCACGATTCCGCGCGTTCGACAACCTTGGCCGTGCGCGCGTGCAGCGCAAAATCTTTTTTTTTTTTTTTGTCTTCTCTCACCCTTTCGTTCTCTCTCTACGAGGCGCTCTCATTACGAGGATATTTTGAGCCTGATTTAATTTCGCGGCGTATTCGACAGGCAGAGGCAGGTGCGCCAGGTTTGACGCATAATAGCCAGGAATCCTTTCTCTCTCTCTCTCTCTCTCTCTCTCTCTCTCTCTCTCTCTCCCTTACTCTCCTATTTTCCCTGTTTTCCTGTCTTTTTTCCTTTTTTCTTTCTCTCTCTCTCTCTCTCTCTCTCTCTCATTCTCATTTTTTTTTTTTTTGCTTCACTCGTTTTTAATTAAACTTCGAAATGAATTTCTTTGTCCCGAATTTGCATATTTTAGGCGCTTATATGAATTTCCAATTAACCGGCTCTTTATGCGTTAATAATAAAGACGTATCTCTGTGTTAAACCACTGTCGATCCATGTTTCCTTCGATTCGCCGATAGGCACTCGCCGTGTACACTTCACGTTTAGTGATTATTTGTTCTTTTGTCTTGGTCGATCTTCTTTCTCCTCTCTCCTCTTTTCGCGCGATTGAATGATTAGTCCATCCTAGCGCTATTGTATCAATAATTGCTATTTGATTTTTCCCGTATTTCGACGAAATTTATCAACATGAAAAAGTGAAAATTTTAGGAAAAAGAAAAAGGAAAATTAAGAAAGATAGTCGATAGAGATCAAATTTCAGTCTCTCCCAAGTTGTCTCTGTTCTCTCATTTCACGTCTCACGGCTTCGTGCACCGTTTACTCGCCGTTTCCGTAGAGCGCGTTGCGCGCACGGGTGCAAATAAATTCTCGAGGAGGCGAAGACACGCGCTAGAGAGGGCATCGGCCGATCAATATTTTCCTTTGAAAATTCGCAGGACGACCGAACGGACAACCTATTCCCTGCCATTTTTCCATACTTAATGAACGCGTGCAAGTACTCGTTACTGTGCTAATGCAATTAAAACGCTTACGGTGAATTATAAATATTTGCATGAATAAGTAAGTATCCGGCCAAACGAGATTATCACCGGTTATCGCCACTCTTACGTGTAACCATCCTCCGATAACCTCACCTCCGCGCCCTCGCCTCGCCCCGTGGTCGTTAACATTTATCGCTGGAGACGTTAAAAAACTCGCCCTCTTTGTCCCCGATATCGATCACCGTCTACGAAACCGCGCCTACGCGGATGCTTCCCGCGCTCTTTTTCCCGCGAGTCACCCGATGGCGCGCCGCGCTGGAATTTTAATCAAGATAATTTCTTTCGATCGCGTATTTTACTGAATTTTGATCCGTACCCCTTTAATCCCCTTGGTGCTTTGCAATTTTTTCACGTAGCATCCAGAAGTACAAAGCATCGTTGTAAGAATGGTAGTATTTCACGCGAATTAAATTTTTTTCTATATATATATATATATATATATATCTTTTTTTCTTTTTTTTTTTATAGGTCTTGCTTTTGCTTTGATTAAGAAAGGATTCATTTAAAATCTTAACGCGCTCTAAATTTTTGAACGTACGTTTTTTGCTCTACAACGGGAGGGAATCTACTGCTATAAAAATTGATTTTGATAAACAAATCGTTGGAACATTATGAGGGTTAATTCATCGTACGTTGCCGCGCGAGATTGTTTGGAAGTTTGATTAGAAAACTCGGTTCGGAATGAAATCGGTCGGTCGCTCGAGTTCCTCGAATTTTAATAAATCAATATCTATTGGAAACAAATATTTATCAACGTTAGGAAGTGACCAAATCGTAATTTGTTTGAATGAAATTTACAACGAAACGTGTTTTGAGCTCCGAGTAATTTTTGGTCGAATATTATGTCGTTTGATGTGTTAAATCTACTTTATGCAATTTGATTTCCCTGATGTAAAGTTTTGCACTTTAGACATCGGCAATTGCGGTATTAACAACGATCCTTATTATACGATCATCGAAAGTGGTTGATACAAATAATTCGATATTTAACAAAAATGAAAATGAACGAATGAAAACGAAACCTTGAAACATCGGAATCATCATAATTCCCCCGTGGTTTATTCTATAATTATCGAAAGTGGTCGGCGTGAATAATTCAGTATTTAACAAATACTGAAACGAACGTAGAAAACAAAGTATCCGGAAATGTTGGAATCATTGGTGATTCTCTTGCTCTGTAATTATTTGACTGCGACTTTTTAACACGTTTTTTTTTTGGAAAATTTAAGGATGCAGAGGTACAACGAATGTACACGTATAAAATTGAAAATGTGCACGTATAAAATATCGAATGTAGGGTTTCTTTCATTCCTCGTTATAATTTCCATGCATTTGCAAAAATATTTTATTGCGGAAGAATATGTAGGTAAAATATTCAAAGTGCACTAGGGTTAGTGTTAGAAATTTTATTACACTCTCAAAGATACGAAATTTTCGTGAAAAATCTGTAGTCTAACGGCAAGAACAAATTTCTCCCCCTATTTACTTCTTAAATTCATAAGTGTTCATAAAAAATATGGAGTTGTACAAAGAGCCGTGCTCCGTAAACTCTCCGCGCGTTAATCAATTTTTCCTGAAACTAAGCGTCGTCTAATTTCGCACACGGTTCTTAGAAGAACGCGTCCCGCCTATCGATTACCGGGTGGAAAATAACTGAAAAGAGAGCCGACCGTTCCACCCTTCCGTCTCTCGTCGGCTCGCGGAACGCGGCTCGTCGACAAATGGTCGCAGCAAGGGCGCAGCCAGCAACTAATATCAAGCGTTATTTCTTTTTTCCTTAGTAACTAGCGAACTGTTTAACGTTCCACGGTAGATATTTATAAAGCGGGCGTCGCGCCCCCGCCCCGACAGTTGGTCCAAGGGGGCACAGAGGAGGCCAGAGGGTGAGCCACGAGGACGAGGAGGCGTACGGCGCGGCGGAGGAACGACGAAGAGGAGGAACGAGGAACGAGAAAGAGGAGAAGGGTAGTTGGTGGCGGTGGTGCGCGGACTTTTGGGGTGGTCGGTGCCCACCTATCGACCCTCTCGGCTCCTGCCGCCCTTTCTTTTCCTCCATCGGTCCACCGTTCGCCTCTCTCTCTCTTTCTCCCGCGTTTTCTCTCCGCTCGCCTCGTCCTCGCGCCTGTCCAGCGACCGACCTTCGTGCGCGCACACGAAGAGAAAAAAGCACGCAGCCGGAGAGGATTGAAGCGAGATCGAGATTCGCTAGCTAGTATGAGAGAAAGAGAGAATGAGAGAGAGAGAGAGAGAGAGAGAGAGAGAGAGACGTGACGCGCGTAGTACAGAGGAGGGTGGCGATGTGTGTGCGCGCGCGCGCTTTCGCACTCGCGAGGGGGTTGTGAGAGGCCAAGCACGGCCGAGAGAGCGCAAAAGCTTACTACCGACACACGAAACGTTGAACGCGCGAGTAGAACGCGCGTGCACGTGTACAGCGGCCAGACACACACGTACACACGCAAGTACACACACACACACACACATACATAGACACACACGCGAGCACATCCTAATTTTAGCAGGCATTCGGCGCAGCTGTGCCACCCACACGTATCGTGCGGGCTCGAAACTCCGAAATTTCGTGCAAATAGCACGGGAAGGAAGCCGTCCCTGATTAAACCGGTTATTTCCTAGGGAAAAAAGAACCAGCCGGCCGGCGCGAAATTTACAGGAAATCGGGTTATTAGTCTCCGGATCGCGAGTGCTTCTCTCGTCGTCGTCGTCGTCGATCGACGCCTCGCAGTCTCGTTACGTTCGCCGTTCTTTATTTTCAACCCTCTACCTCCTCCCTCTCTTGTACCTTCGTCTGATCGTGGCGTTATTTTAATCAGTGACGAAAACCTTCCGCCATTCTCCTGCTCTCTCTCTCTCTCTCTCTCTCTCTCTCTCTCTCTTCCTTCGTCTGCAGCTTGTCGATTTTTTCAATTCGATCGCGGCGAAATTTTCAACTTATTCTTTGATCCTCCGTCGTCAAGAATTTCTCACGGTAGCGCGCTAGAATTCCACGGATTCTTTATCGCAAAAATCTTAGCACGTAGATGAAATTTTTCTTAATTCTTCCAATTTTGAAACAAATACCACCTCCAGTAAGTATTCAAAAATCCTTCTTGCTCAATTTCATCAATTTGTAAACCTACATCATCCTAGTCGTATCGAACGTTTAAGGATTCGCTGCAAATATCTCTCGTTAAAATTTTAATGCGAAAACTTACAACAGTGTTTTATTTTGTATTCCGAGGATCTTGACATTCTTAGACAAACTCGAATGCTCGCCTTGATTCGGAACAAAAATTTTTCACCAAAGGTATATATATATATGGTACCTGCCCCAGAGAATTTTGAGCAGAGGTGATGCATCCATCGATGCCTTGGCGTCCTTCTCTTTCGAGAATCACGCTTTCCCAGGGACCTCGATCAACCGGAGATAGATCTCGCGCGTTACGTTCGATTCAATTAGCCGGTCGTGACAGATTTGCATACAAAATTAGAAACCGGTAACCGGTTGATACCTTGATCGCTCTCGTTGATAACGCGATTCTAACGGGCGTACCGGCGCGCGGCCCGTTGGCATTGTCATTAATTCGATTGCTCGCGCGTCCGGGCTGATTATTTATGTTTCGTCAGGATTCTTCGGTGACATCGGGGCTGGATGGACGACGAATGGGTGGATGGCGGACGAGAGGCTGGCCGTTTTTGTTACTCATTCATGACCGCCGCTTTGATGTGGAACGGATCAATCAGAATGATATAATTCTGCGTATACATCAATTAGCAATAATGGTAATTATCGCTAATGTTTGTAGATAGCTGATAGTGGTCGTGCACGGGGGAGGAGGGAATAGATGTATATTTTTGGAAATTATGCGTCCGCGTTTACGGTGTTACATCAGGCACCGATGGAAATGTCCGTTTAATGTCTATTCTGTTCTACGTGTCACTCCACGGTCCGTCTCCATTTAGAGCAGCAATATCCCTATGCGTTTTCAAATTACGCATAACTTCTCCGGTGTGTTGAGGGTAATTTGTTCAACGGCTGGAATAGTGCGAATGCAACGTGCACGTGCACGCGAAAAGATCGATGTATACCATTTCGAAGTTGAATGGAACCTTGCGGTTGTCGATCGTCGAATCGTCTGACATTTCGTTTGGCTCTTTCAATAGAATCTTCGAACGGGGATTTTAGGCGTGATGGAATTTGGTTCTTGAATTTTAATTCGAAAGAACGAAGAAGGAAGAAACCAGAAATCGACCAGATATTTGTTAGAGGTGTTTGAACCGCTTTAAAAATCGCTCTTTTCGTTTCCAAAAATATGAAAAGGAAGTCACTTGTTAAGTTTCCAGTATCCTAAAATGCGCTTGTCAAATTAGTTGGATAAACATGTCGGCGGCCGTTATTTTTAAGGTATTGTTACATCGGTTAAATACAGTGCCAATATCTCTATACCTATTCTTGGTATTGATTTATAACATTCGACTGAATCCAGTTTCACCTTTCACATTAGAATTTCGATTTGCTGTCTAAGTACCAAGTATTTAGAAGGAAGATATTCGCATATGCTATAATTGATAAATTCAAAATCTATCTACGATGTTAAAGTAAGTATGGATTTTTATTTTCATTCTCCCGCGAATCGATTAACTCTCATTCACCTTGGTCACTTATTTTGCAATTCGAAATTTCGATTTCTCTTTTATCAGATAATCTATATACATAACTACATACATAAAATCCCAATAAAAACAATCTGTTAAAGCGAATCTAGACGAGGTTAGCCTTTATTTTCACTCCTTGCAGATTTTCACGCGGGTTAGCACCGCGATCCGCAACCGAAATTTCAATTTCTCAAAGTCTCGTTTTAACCAGAGCGCCGGGGGAAAATGCTACACGTTCCGTGCGTTATCGTTCATATTTCGTGGCAAATTGAATCCGCAGCCGTTACAACC